TTGTGGTTGTGTCTTTGTGATTGTGTGTTTGTACTTGTGTTTGTGGTTGTGTGTTTGTGTGGTTGTGGTTGTGTGCTTGTGGTTTTGTGTTTGTGGTTATGTGTTTGTGATTGTGTCTTTGTAGTTGTGTTTGTAGTTGTGTGTTTGTGATTGTGTTTGTGATTGTGGGTTTGTGATTGTGTTTGTGGTTGTGTGTTTGTGGTTGCGCGTTTGTGGTCGTGTGTTTGTGGGTGTTTTTTGTGGATTTTATCTCGCACACTTTGTTTGTTTTTTTATTTTTCCGGAGCTGGCCAGACAAGATCGGCGAAGCAGATTGGCGAGGAAGGAAGCAAGGAGGAAGGAGGAAGGAGGAGGACGAGGAGGCGGCGGAGGCGGAGGCAAAGGCGGAGGCGGAGGCGGAGGAAGAACAGCTGTGATAAAATCTAACAACCCTCACCTGGCAGGTGGGGAAAAAAACCATACTCTACTTCGAGTGCCCACCCGCCAAAAGTACTGTAACCGCAATGCACTATTCTTTTCACATCAGTGACCGTTGTGCCATGTTGTGCCACAGTTGCCGCTCAGCTGTCAGGAAGTAAGCACTTGCCTAGATTATTGATCATTTGACAATCCAAAGATCTGGAAGAGTAAGCTTCGGATTTCGTACAAAGGCAAACTGATCAATCATCGTGAACACAAAAAATCACCGTACCGTACACCGGGAACAAAGAAACAGTTTACTCGAGAAATGGAAGGCACACTCAAAGGCAGAGATGGCCTTGTCCTTGATGTGACTTGAAGGCTCGAAGAGTTGTATTGCACGCGCATTTCACACCGGTCAAAAGGAAGGAACGCTCGAAGTGCGCTGCATGGGACAGAGAGGATTTGATCCTCGTGTTGGTGGAGGAAGATCGTCTTTCAAGAGCCTTTTTCAAACGCAAAAGACCTGGCTTTGCAGAGTAAAATCCTCAGTAAAAACAATGGTTCTTTGATGGTTCTTGGGGATTCAGACCACTCAAACAATGGTTGTTGGAACGAACCCTGACCAGGGGAACATCGTCTTTGTTTCCAGGCGCTCGAGGCCGGCATCGCTCCGAGTCGAAGTGAATAAATCGTTGACGCCATGACTTAGAGTTTGTAGATGTGGGTGGTCTCGTTCAGATGGAGTTCAGTAGGGTCAATCTATGTCAAATATTCCAGAAGACACCACCATGGAGTGTTTTTTGGGGCACATGAACCAGGGACTCACCAGGGGCCAACACCGGGTCAAACACCATGGTACAAACCTGCTCAACCCCGAAAGACGAAACCGCTGGACGGACTCACGCGTGCGTTCACGTCCGCTGGACTCACGAGCTGAGGCTTCCACGTCGTGACCGTGGCTCCTGGAACCGGTTGCGAGAGCCATGATCGGTCCAACGAGGTCCGAGCCGGTGAAGAGACCGGGGCTCGCCGTAAAGACCGGACCGCGAGACGCGTGGGGAGGTACGGACGGACCGGACTTCCAGTTGCCGTTCTGTGGTGAAGTCTGGACGAAGTGAAGGTCGACACATACCTGGAGCATCCTGGAGCTCAAGGCAGGGACACATGGCAGCTTGGACCCCAACCACGTCTGGGTTGGTCTTCAGAACATCATCTTCCAGTCTGTAGGGGTCCAGTCTGTTGGATTTTCACAAACAATCTTTGACTGCTGGAGTGCCGTCCAGGATCAAGACACACCTGGAGTTCATCTGTAGTTGTACCGAACACAACCACCGTGCGATCCATGGAGGGTCGAGGCGCACCACCCAACTCCATCATGTGACTCGTGGAACAGGTCTGCATGGATTTTAGACCTACATTGGCCCCAACCTCTGAACTCTCTCCGGCTCGCCGTCGAGGGGGGAAGTCCGTTCTGGCTTGGTGGAACTTGGCTCCTGCATAGGTCCAGTTGCTGCTCAGCGCTTGGTCTTGACACTGGATCCGTACGCGGCCCTGGCGGGTGGCGACGCGGTGAGTGCATGGGGTGAGAGGCGCGCTAAGGCCTCTAAGGTCTAGCACTGTCGCCACCCTCCGGTCTTTTCACAGGCCTGTATCGGTCCACGATCAGTCTCTTGGGATCGAGTCAGAAAGAACCGCAAACAGACCGAGCCTGGATCTACTTGACCCACCCTTCCGGCAGGATGATCATCTACCAGCCCTACCAGATGACCCCCCAGCTGGGTGTGTATTTTGAAGAGGAAGACTCGAAGACATAGGGAGACCTTCCAGATCGACTTCTGGGAACATCTAAAAAGAGACTTCCATCCATGGGGCCAGTGCCAGATGGGCCCAGAAAGGTCTCCAAAATACCAAACCCAGCTGGTGGTGAACTGGGTGGGGTCGTGAGCTGTGGCGGGTCCTCAAAAACAGACGATCCACTCAGCAGAAGAACCTGAAACCTGGACTTTTTGGACCTAAACGCAGGGGTCCGGACCCTCAAAACCCTTTGTGTTTGAGGGGAATCTTAGAGAAGAACGACAGCTGCAGGTGCGCAGCCCCCAAACCACCACATCAAACCACCAGCAGGCCATTGCAAAGCCCGCAGGAGCCTGCTTCCTGGGGGTCAAACAATTTTCATTTCCCGTTTCCCATCGTTTCCCCCTAAAGCTTGGCGAACCTTTGTCCCGCACCAGATCCGCCCAACGCTTGGGCCGCAACCGCAAAGGCTTCCCGCACGGCATGAACAGCAACTCGGTCCAAATTCGAGACCAGCCGTCCGACTGCAGTGGACGAGCGAAAAACGTCGATCGGTCGTCACTGCATGTTCGCTCCGCAGAAGACTGGAGGCAACGACGGGATGCGTGGTACGACTGGTTGGGCGCTGTTAAAGCACAGCCCTGCTTGGCCGTCCACTCATGTTGTGACGCACAGCACCTGCAAAAGACAAGCGCCTGGGAGTCCAAATGATCTATTTTTACCTACCAGGGTGGAGACAATGAGTCGTTGGAAGTTCTGGGCATCCACATCCAAATCGGCACAACTCCACATCACCGTTCAAGCCCAAAGTTAGAGCCGTGCATGGCACTGGGGCCATGCGAAGAAGAATGGTTTTGGGACTTCAGAGGTTCCAAGAGATTTCAATTGACTCCCTACCAGCCACCTCCAACAGGTCTGCTCTGGAGGCAAAATTGCCTTTCGCAGGTGGTGACCTGGTGGGAGATCCTGGTAGGGCTAACTCTCATGCCACATCTTTAAGAGCTAACTCTTTGCTTGAACTACTTCAAGGCTAAACCAGGTGGATGCTCTGCTGCAATTCTCTAACACTGCTGGATAAAGGTGCCCTGCGGCCGCGTGGAACACTCAGCGGAACACTCAGCCGTACGTGGGGAACAGGGCTGGGCTGGGCTTGGGCGGCGGCCACGACTGGGAGTCCCCTGTCGACATCGCCACATGATCATCGTCATTGACCTTCGACCACCGACACGTCAGCTTCCTCCAACACTTCAGGCATTCAAAAGAACATCAAACATCATCAGACTTCAGGCATTCCACGTGCGAAAACCACTCTGTTGAGACAGGTTCCTATCCATGTGTTGAGACACGTCGAGACTTCGGCTTGCTCCACTTCGCCTCCAGTCTGCCGGCCGCCTCGAGGCACTGCCGGCGTAGGTGTTCAGCCGAACGTGTCAGTTCTGCGAGGAAAAAGGGCGTATCTGCGATGCAAGTCAGGTCATGAAAGCAACTGAATTCAAGTGAATGGTTGCACTGACATCTGAGTCCTTAAAGCAATCGTGACTTGACATCGACATCGAGGTCTGACACTCTGCGTGAGAATCATCTCGTCTCTGAATCGTCAAGTCTTGCTTGGATCTGGTCTTTCAACCAGTTCCTATCCAATCGCTTGGGAAGGTCTGGCCGACAGAAGTGGGACAACCCCCTCAGATCGACTTCTGCCGAAAAAAACACAGCGTGGGCAAGACTGGTGCATGATATCCCTTCCAAGAGTTGTCGCAGCCTTCTCTATCATTCAATGCCTTACAGAAATCTCTTGTGCTAAAACATCTCAACTTGAATGGTTGATACCCTAGTGCATACTTGAATGTTTCTGTAGAATTCAATACCCTAGTGCTTTGATTCGGTGTCCAAATGTTCCTGTCGCATGGAGGTTTTCCTGAACCCGGTCGGACCATCTGAAAGCCGAAGCTTGTGGCCAGCCATGAAATGCTTCGCCTGGTGCTCATGGTCAGGGAAAGGCACTCGGAAGAGCCAACAGCGGTCAATTGGTCAAGGTTCATTAGTCCTCAAAACCTTGGATTGAGGGGAGGCTGCGATTTCAACTTGAAACCCTCAGGCAACAGCGAACCGTTTCAACCTCCATTTTGGCAGCTTGGGAGCATGGCGCCGGAATGGTGGGAAGGAGCCAACCGCTTTCGCGACGGGAACGTGGAGGTGGGGCCGAGGTTGGGCCCCTCTAAGTGTTATTCACGTGTACCATGCAGGACCTTCAGAGTGACCTTTTCAGAGGTCAAAGGCCACTTAGAGACTCCAAAGAGCTCACTGTGAAGGTGGTGATTACATTGTTGGCCTCCGCGAAGGGTGATGGACTCAAGAAAGAGAGTCGCTCACACGAAGCAACGTTCAACCTGCATTCGCAAGGATTCGGTCTTTTCAAATGGCTCCCAGACGTTTCGGCTTAACGTCAAATGTCTCGCAGAAGCGGCCCAGCACAGCACGCAACCTGTCCTGACACCATGTTCGCTCTGTCGAACCGCCCTGAGGGCGCCAAACGAAGCTCCAAACCGTTGGTCGAACACGACAAAGGCTCTCGATCAAAGCTCTAAAAACCATAGTCTCATGGGCACGCCCGTGCCGAGTGAGAACAGGCTTGAACTGCTTGACCCCTGCCATGTCTTTGTCATGTTTAGTACTGATACTGGTGCAGTCGCGGGCTGCGCATTGACTTTGAAGACCAAACTGATCAGTATGTTAGCTGCTTGACACTGGACCGAAAGATCCCTGAGAGCTTTGTATCTGCACGATTTGGAGGTGTTGGAGCACGATCAGCATGATCCTGCCAAAGCGGTCACAGTGAGACTCGTGACATGTTGCAAGGAGAAGTGTTGTCACCCAGCCGCGACCTGGACCCAAATCCTCGGGTCAGGTGTCTAGCTGGGTTTTTTTCACCAATCCCTATATTATTGGTTTTGAGGGTCGGGCAGGTTTCATGGAACGTCTGAAGCATCGCCCACTTTCGACCAGGATCCCCAAAACCTCCGCCGCACGAGCGGGTCCGATCAAGCTTGGCGGGCCAGCTGATGGCGCCGAGCTGATCGGCTCGCTTGGGCCGAGCTCGGACCACGACGAAGCGGCCTGGGTCCGAGCCCAGCTGCAGGCGACTGCGACGGAGGTGACAGGGCAGTCCTGGAGACCGACCGGACGAAGCAAGGACGGACGGAATGGCACAGCATGGGAGAAGCTCGTGGAAGATCTCATCACACTGGGGGTATAGAACTGCATGATAACTGGGTGTCATACCAGACTTCTTACGTTCGTATACAGTATACAGTATACTGTTGGAGCTTGGAGTGAACTTACGAAGGTTGGACAGGCTGTGAACTCTCCAGGTGAATGGTGGTGTGTCTTGCGGTCCGTTGGGCAGTCTGAAGAGGCATGACTCAACTCACTCAAACTCAGACAGGTGACTTCAGATGGCATCTGGCCAAGCCCAATGATACGGGTGCTGCGTTCTGAAATGTGGCTTCATGCTTCGACATCATGAGGAACGCTGCAACAGGGCCAACTAGCACACGAAGGACGTTGAAATGGCCACTGTGAGTGCGGCATTGTTGTGTTTTGCCAGCGGCATTTGCACTCCTGGTCAATCTCCACTTTTGCGACCTAACTAAGTCGGCAGGCTGTCAAACCACAGAATGGGGTAGAGCAAATGAGATGTTGGTATCATTGGAAGCAAAACCGTTCATCAACGCTGGACCTTGCTAAGTCAGATGGTTAGCCGACTTGAACCGCCAGCTGAATTCATCAGAATCCTGAGGAACCGCAACATGGGTCCTCATGAATAACTTGGTCAGAAAAACACAGCTATTCCTTGCATCTATCCATCCACCACAGGAACAATTAAACATGGAGGTCTGGATATTGAAAAGCACCCCGAAAGAATGACACCTGTTTTTCTTGGATGATATGATGGTGTTCTTGTCTGCCCTATGACACATGCCCGCCTTTACTGCTTTCGGCCAGTGCTATGCCTCATCTGCGAAGTCTGGCACCTGCCAAGAATTAGGCCCTGTTCATTTGGTTTTGCCTTGGGTCCGGCATGCCTGTTCCTTCAAGCGGATAGTGTGTTGAGCAAGTTTGGAAGGATGATCACGATGTGTGCCGGTGGTGCGGTATGGCTTTTCAACAGATGAGGTACTGACGGTACCGTGCTGGTCCCCTTCTTGGCAGAAGTCCTCGCAATTGGTGCCTGCTACCCTGGATAGATAGATAGCTTTTTGCAAGTTCTCGCAACATTTACGTCCATCTTGTGAATCTACGTCCTTTTGAAATGCTGAACGGTTTTTCACGTCCAAAGCCTAAATACTATTGATATATTTGAGTGTTGTGAAAAGACCAAGTTCAGCGATTACGGTAAAACACGTCCCGGACAACAATTCTCGTCCTTGCATACCAAAAGACAACAATTAGCGACATGGACAACAAAAGGTGGTAACGTTATAAGGTTTAGCAGGTGCTTTTATCTTGACGAGTCTACAGTTCGTTGATTGTTCCTCATATGGAAACCAACCGACGACTACGAACTGCGAAAAGGCCTGCAGAAGCGCTGTACTGGACCAATTGATGCTTCAACAAAGGCTGAGCAAAGTGCTGTCAAAATGACAAGCACCAATAATGAAGTCAGCTCAAGTAGATTGTTTGAGGATCCGTACGTGACTTCAATGAAGCTACCTTGCATACGTGTGCGTTCCACTTCCTGTTTGATCTTCCCATGGACT